GGGGATCGGGTCCTCGTCGGCCCAGGTTCAAATTGTCATCCCTACTCATTCTTGAATATACTCATTCCTAACTCTGTCTTTTCTACTTTTGCCATACATCCACTTCAGCATCCTCATCTTAGCAACATTCATCTTATCTATATGTTGTTTCTTAGTTGCCTAACATTCCATCCCATACAATATCACTGGTTTAATATTCGTTCTATAGAACTTCACTTTTAGTCTAATAGATACTCATTTATCACATAGTACTCTAGACGCACTCTTTCACTTAAGCCATCCCGCATTGATTTTGTGGACCATATCTGCTCCAATCTCTCCAGTCGTTGAGATAATCAATCCTAAATAGCGAAAATATTCACTCTTAGGTAATTCTTAGTTTTCAATCTTCACTTCTCCTCTGCTTTCATTGCGACTGTTACTAAAATTACACTCCATATACTCTGTCTTAATTCTGCTTATTCTAAATCCTTTAGATTCAAGTGTTTTTCTCCAAATCTCCAACTTAGTGTTAACTCATTCTCTAGTCTCATCCACTAATACGATATCATCTGCAAAATGTATACACCATGGCACATCATCCTAAATATTGCACGTCAACTTATCCATAACTAAAGCGAAAAGATAATGATTTAAGGTTGATCCTTGGTGTAATCTTACAGTAATTAGAAATTCACTCGTTTCTTCAACATGTGATCAATCTAATAGTGGCCACCTCACCTTCATACATATCCCTAATCACATCAATGTAACTTTTTGTCATCCCTTTCTTCTTTAACACCTACCAGATTATATCCCGAAGTACTCTATCATATGCTTTCTCAAGATCGATAAAAACCATATGAATGTCTCTTGTATTTTCTCAATACTTTTCTATTATTTTCCTCAAAAGATAGATCTGTAATGACCCTCATTCTTGTCTTAGTCATGTTCATGTGCATCTGCATGATTTTGTTTTGTTAAGTTTGCGTTTGTAGATTTTGACTTGTTTTGCCTAAAGTAAAGGTCCCTATCTTGTTTTGTGCTTTTGTGATTTGCTTGAGTATTGCTTGTATGCTTTGTTCCTTGCTTAGTGTGTGTAGCCTAGGCCTCACCCTTGAACCTCTTATACCTAGGACCATCTTGAAATCACTTTGGTTGACCTTCACCTTCACTCTGGCATATTGGCCGAAATGTTATCATCTAGGCCGATGTGTGCATCACCTAGGCTGAGATGTGTACCATCTAGGCCGAGATGTTACCATCTAGGAAACCAATATCTTTGATCCTTACACCTAGTGATCTTGTTCCTAGAGTGGTATGACCTAGATCGAGGTGTGGCACATCTAGGCCGAGGTGTGGCACAGCTAGGTCAATTGTTATCCTTCCTAGCCAAGATTATCGAAACCTTCTTGCCAGAAGCCTATGTCTTGATCCGAGGTCATTGCCTTGTCAGAGTGCCCTTGTCATCTTGCTTGTTATACACACTTTGTCATACTCTTGTCTTGTCATTCTGTCACCTTTTTGAGGAGATTCAATCCGGCGTTGCCACATGTCCCAGCAGAGGGTTAAGTCAGGTACTAGCTGAGAACCCATATCATTTTGTGTCATACCTTTGCATTGTAGAGAGAGAAGCTCTAGGAAGATGAAGAGAAGTTTAGAGTGAGAGAGCTAGATCCCAAGCTTGATCTTTAGAGTTTGAACCGTTAGATCCGTGTTTTGAGGTTAGATTCTTGATTTACTCTTGTTGTTCTTTATATTGATCTGATCACATTGCATGATCTAGCATGATTCATGAGCCATGCATTGATTTAAAGTTTGTTTAGAAAAAGAAAATGATGTTCTTGTGTTTTTGAAGGAAAATCATGTTTTGATTCGAAAGTTTATACCAACATCCATGTTTTTGTGTTTGTTTTCATGGAATCTTCAACTACGGGTACCCAGGTCCATGTTTTTGAACTCATCTCATGAAATCTCAGATTTTGAATAAGGAAGTTATGATTTTGGCATTCATGTTCTCCAAAAGGAACCCAGATTTTCCAGACTTCATTTCCCTGAGTATGGTCACCGAGATCCACTCTTGCCTAGATCTCACACATAGGCCAAACATCGTATCTCACATTGGCCTACTTTACATGATCTGCACTTTAGTTTATCTTGCATGTGCACCTAGGCCTAGGAGACCATACCTCGGCCAAGAGGTGTGGGACCTCGGCCAAGACCTGGTTGGTACCCAGCATGTTTTCCCGATATAAGAAACAGTGTTTTAACTCCCCAGCACATGTTTTGCTTTATCTTGACTTAATTTTGAAAGAAATACCGAGATCATTTTACACTCATGTCAGGCTTGTTTTAGGGATGCATTGCATAGCCATCTTTTGAGCATTCCTTCTTGTCTTCTTGAAATACATTCAGTGGACCTTGCCATGTGTTTGTACGTCTTCGATTCTTGCCTTAATCCCTACACCCGAAGAGCTATGTGAGTGGTATTTTTAATAAAGTTATGTTATAATGTTTTGATAAAAGCTTTGCTTTGCTTTGTTTTGGAAAAGTGTTTGATCAAGTATGAATGATTATTCCTAGTTTTGTATCAAGTATTATCTTGTTTTGATGACATTATTGGAAAGTCCTTAGTGCTAGGGGACTATAATGCAACTAGTACCCTTGTTGAGATATCTCCCTTGCCACCGACGGTCTTGTATGGGTGGGTTTGTCTAATCGGTTCCGGGTCGATTATTCCCTGATTTTGTCAGGAATGTCATCCCTTGTATTATATTGATGCTAGTAAGCATCCCTTGAAGCTTTGAAAGACTTGATAGATGAACTTAGTTCATCCCTTGATTTTGTATAAGATATGCTATGTATTGTTTTGATAAAGATCTCGAATATCAATCATTCAAACCTTTATTACTAATATCATTCACTGAGTATCCAAGCTCACCCTCTCCTTATATATATGTAGGTGACGAGCAAGAAGGCGGTGATGCCTAGATATTACTTGCAAATTATTTTGGATTCATGTTTTGCTAGCATCTTGAAGATTATGCTTCTTAGCTTTGTAATTCATTTCTCTTATATATGTCGACTTTAGAAGCCTTTTGATCAAGATGTAATATGTACTTATTTTAGCAAAGTTGTAAACCATGTCATGATGTATGTTATTTCATTTGATCTATGCACAGCTCTTCTAGACTATTTAGATTTAAATTTATTGCTTCTGCACATGTAAGCCCCATATGTATACTCTGATTGTGTGTGATTTTGGAAGTTGGCCTTTGGTGATGTCGGATTACTGGCCATCATGGCACCATTCTACCAGGGGTAGAATGGGGTCGTGACAAGATCGCTTCCATTATTGACCTACTACGCAAAAACCCAAATTGATTCTCTAACACTTCTGTTATATCTCGCAATTGACGTTCCATCACTCTCTCTAACACTTTCATTGTGTGACGCATAATTTTATTCCTCTATACTTTGTTGCAATTCTGAATATCTCCCTTATTCTTATATATTGGCACTAAAATACTGTTTCTCCACTCCTCTGGTATTTTTTTAATCAACAAAATCTAACTAAATAATCTAATCAACCAAACAACCCCCTTCGTACCCAAACATTTTCACACTTCAATAGGTATATCATCGAGTCTTAAAGCCTTATTCAATTTTATCTTCTTAAGTGCAAACTCCACTTCAAAGTTCCTAATCCTACGATAAAATCTATAGTCCTAGTTTTCCTTATTATAGCCTACTTCCTCCCCTTTTAACCTACCTTTATGTTCCTCATTTAATGTCTCAAAATAGTTCTTTCACCTCTCCTTAAACTCTTCATCCTTCACCAATACATTAGAGTCCTCACCTTTGATACACTTAACTTGATTAAAATCTTTTATTTTTCTTTCTCTTATCTTAGCAAGTTTGTATATTCGCTTCTCTCCTTTCTTTCTTTTAACATATAATATATACTTATATATATATATATATTTGATTAGCAAAATAAAAAATTTATTAAAAGCATGAAATTAAAGATGTAAGGAAATGAAATGCATAGAGAAATTCAGAGAGTGCGAATTCCCCTACTACTGATGCTCGTATCCACACAACTAATGCCTATTAGCCTTTTTTTGTTGTCTTTATTAACTATTTTAGGCAAACTTTGGCATCCCAAATGGGGCCTATGCATATATATATATATATATATAATTGTATAATTAAAGTTTTAGTTTTAATTTTAATCTCATATGCAAGTATTATAATTTTTTTAACTCGTTAAGGCTCGTGAACAGACTTAAACTCAAGCTAAGCCTAAACCAACTCCGTTCTAATTCTGTTTGTTAAATTTTTATTAAACTTGAGATCGAATTTATTAAAATCTTAATAAATAAACTCAAATATATTAAAATTCTGCTCGACTTGTTTGCCACTCTATGCAGAATTCTTCTGAAAACTGATACCTAGCTATTCAACCTATAAAAAAAAATAAAAATAAAAATGCATAGAAGCGAATTATTTGAATGAAATATTATGAATGTTTAGTCATGGAAAAGCCTCTTTTTAGTATGACATGCCTTCGCATGAATTGCAAGTGCGGTTTTGTCTGATAACAATATATATATATACATATATTTAAAATAAATAATGAACAAATATTATTAAGAAAGTATCAAGATGATACTAAGAAAGTATCAAGATGATATAAAGAACATAAGAATTATCATCAATGAAGAAATAAAGACACAATGAAATCCAAAAAAGTATATAAATCCAAATCCAGACTCTAACACCCATTTGTGCAAGACTGATAACAACTTGTTTTTCAAACAGGGACCAAAGCCGCTAATCCCTCAAACATCCGACGATAACAACATAGGGTGTTTTGGGCACCACCAGATAATAATAATAATAATAATAATAATAATGCATGAAATCTAGCTTGGTGATGGAAATGAAATTTTACCTTCTAGTACTGCATTTGATTAGGATGACATATATGTGAGAAAGTTATAGCCATAAGATACTTGTACAAGAAATTTTTCTGTACTTTTTGCCTTTAAAAAAAAATTTGTTTACACCCACTGGATGCTCAATAGATACAGAAGCTGGCTAAATGTGCATATTAAGTGCGAAAATAATCATACATGAATAATAAGCTCCAAGAATCATTGAGCAAGGCTCTGCTGAAGGCAGAACATAGACTTCAAAAATTCAACTTCTGTTGTGTGTCTGAGTCTTCCACATTTTTGACTCACTAAAGGAGATTGATGTTATTACGAGTGATTTGTTAAATGGTGGAATAAATAATTAATACACATTCTTCTGCTCGCGTTGGATGACATTGCAAATGGCTTGAGTTGAAGGGCATACATCCAATTTGAATCCAGAGCTTGTACTTGATGCTGATAATTGCTACCTGTTTTCTGCAAAATTTCTCATAGAAGCCCTCATCGATGCTTGGTCCATTGAACACTTCTTAGCCAGTCACTTGAACTGAAACACATCGAAGAATTCAATCATTAGTGTAATTTCACTGTACGAGTAAGTTCGAAGAAACCTGTTCAAAAAAGAACCAATGAGAAGTAGCAGGAAGGCAGGGCAGCGCGCATATGACAAATTCTCCTTGTATGAACGCAAATTGCATAGAAAAAAACAAACAAGAAATCAGATAATGTCACCCATGTTTACGTAAAACTGAGTCATTCAACCTGAAAAAGAAAAAGGAAGACACACACATACCTTTTGGTAGATTTTCACAAACACCGTTAAAATAAATGATGTAGCTTGCTCAAAATGGGGAGAAAAGTAGATGCTGATCAGAGACCTGTGCTTGAATAGATAAGAAATCCCATAGCCAAAACACTGAAGATAGCAATGCTGTTGTATTTGTCAGATGGGTTGCTCTCCACGTAACTTGTCTGAGGCTCATTTGTCTGAGGCTCATTTGTTCACAGCTTTGACGTAGCAGTTTTGCTAGTCTGAAAGTTCTCCTTCCACAATATCCAAGCCTTCCTGACTTCATCCAATTCTGCTTCTGGAATGCTTGTGTTTGCGTCCAATATGTCAACCCATTCCTTCCATGGAGATTTTGAAGGATCCAAAAATTTCGAGACTTGAGGCAACATTAATGAATTGTAAAACTCATCTACTGCCTTCAGAATTTCTTCTGATTCAACCAATGTCAGTATTTCGGGCCTCGTTACATTGCCAGGTTGGTGTCTCAATTCAAAATTATTTCCCCTCAAAATCAGGACTTCAGATGGGGCAAGCGGTAGAACAATCCGTGAGAACTTGGACAGTGATAAATTTAGAACGTCTTTAGGGAATAATTTACGTTTCACCGCCACGGCAGTCCCAACCATCTTGCGGATCTGGTTCAATGCAATGCATTAACATTATGATGAAATGAGTAGAACAAAATTACTATGCAAAGAAAACTGCTTTGTTGTCCCCTATCCCTATTTATGTCCCTCGAAAGAAGCGAAAGTATGTTGATTTACTTAGTTATACAGGATTCATAAAGAAGTACATCCACAGTTAAAACTTCTGAGTGCAGGTGTGTGTATGTAGGTATTTTGTTTGGAAAATCACTTAGGTCGGTGAAACAGGCAATATTAGATGATAGTACTTCTATATCAATCTGATTTATATGCTTCTTGCCCATAAATCATGAGAATTGATGCCCAAGTGAAATAATAAATCCAAACATAAACAAGGTGATCCAAAAAAAATGAAACTGAAACAAGCATGTGTAAAAAGGGCATCTGGAAGCAATTACATCAATAATAAGTTATAAAGGTCAATAGAATGCCTTTGGGGTTGTTCCCAAAGATTGACTAGGCAAAGTTGAATTTCAATGCATGAACATGTATATCTCAATGTCATCCTTTATATGGGATGTTTTAAGTTAAAACCTGCTCCTTTTAAGTATCATTTAGCAATGAACTCCAGGCCTATTATACGAACTTCTTTTTATTGATTTTATTTCTTGCATGGACAAGTTGAGTTTCAATGCATAAACATGTGTTTTTCTGTGTCGCACCTAAAATGTTATCTCTTGCACCAATATGACAGTGTTTATATCTAAACTAAGTTAAAAGGGTAGCCTTTGGAAAGGTGCAAATATTACTTGGCCTAGATAAAGAAGATGACAAAAACAGTCCTAGGGTTTATATCCAAGAGACTTACTTGATGCAACATGAATGATTCTCCAAAGATGGAAATTTCTACATAATTTATTCCAAGCAACCGTTCAAGCTTCCCACAAGAACAGTGAAAAATCTTTCTAAAATGGGCAGCACTAAGTCTGTCTTTTGCGTCAGGTTCATGCAGCCATCTGGCACGAACAGCTAATATGGGCTCCCGATCCTTCAAATCATTCCCATTCTCATCACGACTTTCAATTAGATTTTTTACAGAAAGCATGGATTGTGATGAACTATGATTGTCTCCCTCAACATCTGTAACAGCCAAATCATCTGTTCCAAGAGTTTCTTCTCCATCACTCGCCTTGGAGTCAGTGTATCTTGCTCTTCTATCCTTTCCGGATAATTGATTAGCAGACACTTGTTTCCTATACTTGGATCGTATTGTATAGTTGTGAAAAGGATGTTCTCCCTGCAAATACCACTCATAGAAACAAAATAATTAACAGATGACCCCTGCAAAAATACAGACAATCTCTATTATTTACGAAGACCTTAAACCATCCATTTACAAAATATCATCATGGCATAGGCTCCATTTGTTTTGACGTAAAATGTTTTTGTCAAAAATATTTTACTCATTTTCCATTATTTGGTTGAACAAAAAGTATGTAAAATATTTTTTAAAGAAAATATTTTTGCATCATTTTTTCAAAAATGACTTATCTTTAAAATTTTCAAAAATCAATTTTTACAAGGTTGATTATCGCTCACTACCTTTTCAACACATTTAGCCTTTTTCAAATAAGTATCTTAGCTCACTTAAAAGTCATAAATGATGCTTTATTGAATCAAAATTTCGCTTTTAAGTTTTAGCATATAAAATATTTTTGTTTCAATTGTCAATCAAATGCTGAATTTTTTAATTTTTTTTTGTGTAAAATCAATTTATAAGAAAAATAATTTTTTGTGTAAAATATTTTATGTCGAAACAAATAGAGCCATAATGAAAGAGGTAATTACTTAGTTAAGCAATAAAAACTTGTAAGCTGTCTGAAGTGAATGCCTATTAAAGTCGGAAAATAGTCACTCCTCATTAATAAAGCAGGAAGGCAGATCTCTACCCAGTCCAGCCCTACCAACATGGCTCTATTAACAGGACCAAGAGGGGTATTCTCATCAAGGCACAACAACTGTAAGGCTCGTTTTGATGGACCTATAGTATTAAGTTAAAGACAACATAAAATTAAAAGACCACCATATTAATGGTCAGGACAAATTATCTTTTCTTTCTGGTATATATATTATATTTTTTCTTATAAATAAATAATACAAAATGTATTAATAAATCATAAACACCCAATGCAAACACGGACCAAAAAAAGTTTTAAAAAAATGCTCAATGGAGAAATTGAGAATGGAGATAACATCCACAGGAAGGGGTGAGGATTCACAAAAATAAAATAAAATTGTTAGAATATAATATGTAAAATGTTGCTTTAATAATTAGGTTAGTATAATAATTAGTATGCTTTAATAATGTACCTTTAATAATGTTGTTTGGTTTGTGCTTCTACTTTCGGTTTGTAATTGTTCTCCCTCTCCTCTATAAAGGAGAGAGCTCAACACACCACAATATACATCAATCAATAATACATCAATTTTAACAGTGCCCCGATACAAAGAATGGTCGACATGGTTTCCTGTTTAGCTTTATGTGCAATCCTCTGAACTTGGCTTAATTAGTGGTATACTTTACTATAATTTGAACAATTTTATTTTCTTCCAAATCTAGACTCTTACCTCAATGTAGCCACTTATGGAACTCAACATAAAGCACTCAATTTTTGGGTTTTGTAGCTTGAAGAGTGTTAGAGATGTAGTTTTAAATTGATTCCTCTCTCATCTCAACATTCATTTTTCCATTTTGCAGGTTCTTAAGGACGGCTGCATTATTCAGGCTGGCAAATATGATGAACTTTTACAGGCAGGAACTGATTTTGAAACTTTGGTGTCAGCTCACCATGAAGCAATTGACTCTATGGATATTCCCAATCACTCACTTGAAGATTCAGTTGAAAGCAATCCTTGTGATGGGTCTGTTCTATTGAGTAAAAAATGTGTTACAATTGGAAATCGTATTAACAGTTTGGCGAAGGAAGTACAAGAGGGTGTATCAATTCCAGACCAGAAAGCAATTAAAGAGAAAAAGAATACAAAACATTCAAGGAAAAAGCAGCTTGTTCAGGAGGAGGAGAGGGAGAGAGGAAAAGTCAGCATGAAAGTGGCAGTCATGGTCTCCACACATGACTTCAATGTATACTGATTAGCCTCAATATCCGATTGCGCTGCCATTATTTGCTCCACCGACCGCATAGGAAAGGTCAACGGCGCAAAACCAGGGGCGCTTGGTTGAGGTTCAAGGGCCACCGCATCGGTTATCTCTCTTGTGGACTCGTTGAGGTCGGGAAAGAGAGTGAGCAGACCACGGGAAGAAGAGGCCATGTTCTGGGTAGCTGAACGGGAAGAAGAGGCCATGTTATGGGTTGCTGAGTGTTTCAGATGTTACAGAGTGTTTCAGGGTTTGCAGCTTTTAGAGAAAAGCTCTCAGAGAACGCTGAGGTTTCAACTGGTTTGTTTTGCTTCCAAGCCTCAGGCTTCGCTTTGGTTCATATAGACAATGCCGCAGAGGACGACACAACACTCTGTCAGTCACGTGCATCGCCGCGTGTCCGGCGCCCCTTTTGATGGCTCGACACTTTCGGTCGGGCACGTCTTTTGGTGAAGTGGGCGCGCCTTTTGAGGGCGCGACTTTTGAGGGCTCGATATATATATCCATGTATATATATTTGGGCAGCCTATATACACCATCATACAGTGTATTCTACAACGGTCCGACATGACCCCATAAACTGTACCAACATTGATTCCGGTTAGCTTTTACATGGGTCCGGCAAGACTCCGTAAACTGTCCCGACATTGATTCCGGTTAGCTTTTACATGGATCCGGCAAGACTCCATAAACTGTCCCGACATTAATTCCGGTTAGCTGCTACAACGGTCCGACACGACTATACAATGTCTTCTACAACGGTCTGACACGACCATACAGTGTCTCATATCCTATTTTTATTTTATTTTATTTTTCTGTTTTGTTACTCTCTCCAAACTCAAGTTGGTTGGTTCCTATCCTCCTTGAGTTTGAGGGGGGCTGTTAGAATATAATATGTAAAATGTTGCTTTAATAATTAGGTTAGTATAATAATTAGTATGCTTTAATAATGTACCTTTAATAATGTTGTTTGGTTTGTGCTTCTACTTTCGGTTTGTAATTGTTCTCCCTCTCCTCTATAAAGGAGAGAGCTCAACACACCATTAGATACATCAATCAATACACAATTTATTCTCTCTCTTTCTCTCTATACATTTATTTCAACAAAAATAAAAGTTCAATTGAAAAAGAAAAAAAAAATCCTTCACACCAAAAATAAGAAGTACGTAAAAGCCACATCTTGAGCTTCTGGGTTGCGGGAGCTAACTCTTCAAAAATGCATCTATTTCTCTCCCACCACATAAGACAGAGGTGGTACCATCCAAACTTGGTGGTACCATCCAAACTTTCTTCTACCCATTCTAACTTTTTATCAGAATTCAAAAGTATGAAAGATTGCATGGTCAAATAGATGACCTCATGAGAACCCAACTAAAATGCAGGACTTGAACTTTGGGGGAGCAAAAACACAAGAAACTTCCCATCTTTTAAAATCATCTTACTAATTACTAATATAATATACATAGTTTTTACAATTTTGGGTGGTGCGACTGCACTTCCGTGCCCCCCTAGATCCATCCTTGTCCATGACAACAAGTGCACCGAAAATATGTCCAAGAATATGTAAAATCATGTGGCAGCTAAAGTTTTGTAAAAATATCTTCCTACCAGAAAAGTGCACCCAAGAACAACTTGTCTAAATATAACAGAAAAACTTACCTCTAAAACATTCAATATATCATTGAGGTCTGATAGATGATAATCAATTTCAGCAGTAGTGAAGTTATCAATAACTTCGCATGGAAGGAGTAGATTACTTGCCGGAATGTTACATTCCTTCTAATCAAAGCTCCTGAAACAGGCCACAATAATAAAATAAATAAATAAACAAGGAAATATAATGGGAAATGTTGATAAAAGAAAAGTGGAGAATTTGTTATTATTTATTTGAACATTGGTCTTATCTACTTCTTGTATGTTGGGTACAAATCCCATACATTCAGCGAAATAGTTATATGACAATACAAAGGTAGAAAGCAGGTGGCTTAAGGCAAGGATGGATCTATGGGGGTGTGGAGGGGGCCCAAAAATTTGAAAAATATCATATATTATACTAGAAAATTTAAAATAATTAAAAATTATAAGGATTTGCATCCTCAAACATACTTTCGCACCCCCATAGTAATAATCTTGGATCCGTCCTTTAAGGAAGAGAGACACATAAGGCCTTTGTAGGGGTGAATGTGGGACACATGGCTATAGAATGCAAGTGCAGTAGTAGGGGTGGTTAATGTGCTTCCAAGAACATCTTAGTGGATCAACAAGATAGTGAAGAAATGGGAAAAATGCAGCCATGGATTTGAGAATGTCTGCCAACCACCATGCACAACAGCTACAAAAGAAAGAAAAGAAGAAAAAAGCCCCTCTCTACTCCAATTAAACAACACATCAACAATGCTATTTTCTTTTATCAGTAGTATCTTATCTTCACCGTACATTCCTTAGTTTCCAGCACCCTTATTTAGTTAATCAATTTACTTTTCATTTCTAGTTCCTTCAATCTTTATTTTATAAGCATTTACTGTTTTATTTCAGAGGTCATTTTTTTCTATCACCTGAAAAAATTATTAAGGGTTGGTTTGGGATGTTCTAAAAAAGTACACTTTTTGACTTATTGGCTTATATGGGTTGGGTTTGGGTTGGGTTTGATGTGATGTGTTAGAGAGGTGATGTGATTTAAATAAGATGATCTGAGTTAAATAGGATAGTGACTTTTTGAATTTTTGTATTATTTAGGTCATGCCAAACTTGGCCTAAGTCTTCTTCACAAAAAGGACTGGTGCTTATTTATTCAACCACGGATAGTTCACCTGTTAGAAGTTAGCCTTTTCTGTTTGGACCAAGCTTGGTCTTAGCACACCCGCACAATCCAAAACACAAGATGATTAAACAGTTTGTGTTTTCTTTAGATAGTGCTTCCAGTATTTTTCATTTTATGAACTTGATTTTGCCATTGATTAAAAGACAAAGTAATTCTAACAAAATTAAAATATACCCATCATTCTAATTGTTGGGCTCTCTCTCTCTCTCTCTATCTCTAAGAAATAATAAGCCACTAAATCAGGCATTATCCCTCCTCACTAGTAGTCACTTTAACACCTAATACAACCACAAAACTAACAAACTATTTAAATAAAATATATGAAAATATATTTGAAAGTTTTACACATTATACAGACTAAAAGATGCACGTATGATTGGACCTTCGTGAAGGCAAAATGCTGAAAACTTTGATATTGGTAGGAAGATAAGCATTAACATAATTTGCTAGAGCAATGCCATTAGGATCTTCCTTCCATGCATTTTCTGGGATTTCCATTTTCAAGGATATCATGGTTGCCAAGGAATGCACCTAGAAAATAAATCACCAGCGTAAAAGATTATCACATTACTACATATATGATGTAAGCAATATATAGTGGGGATAAAAAGTTGAGCAATATAAGAAAAATAAATGGCTTTTAAGCATCTTACTCCTTTATCAGTTCGGCTACTTCTAGCCCACCCAATTTTGTTCAAATCCCCAAAATTACTATCGCGAATGCCACCAGCTTTAAAAAGGGCATTTTCCAATTCTTCTTCGATGGCTACATTACAAAATTGTAATTCTTTAGCAAAATCCTGTCCCTACGGGCTAGGTTGATAAAGTATGTGATGCAGTTAATAATTTTACCATATCCAAAGGGCACAACACAAAATTACGAATACTACCTTTTGCCCAACAATTGTGTATAAAATATAAATTATTAGAAACACCTCTAAGCAATAACTCTTAATAGTTTGAAATCACAGTTGAATTTGTTAGAAACACTTCTAAGCAATAACTCTTATAATTTCATTTTTTTTTTTTTATTGTAAAAAAATACTTTTATTCTTTTGATAGGCTATAAAAAATAAAAAATAAAACACAAAAACTGAAGTCTCTTTTAACAGCTGAGCCAGAATAGTAGTCCAAAAATGAAATAAACCACACACATAATCTTCAATCAATATAGAATAAGAAATGCTCGCTTGTTATACACTCTACATTTCAAACTTTAGTATTTAGTGAAATTTTGAATTAACAATATGAATCAATGACGTAACGATGATAAGACGTGAAAATCTAGATTGAAACATTCAGCAAGAGGTCAGATAATGAACTGCATATAATAGGTAAACCACGACCTGGTTTCTAAAAGACAACAGACCAAATATATAAATGAAATTTCAAATCATTGAAGCAACCATTATTGAAACAATCTAGGTCAGGGGAATATAAATTTAGATTCAATGAAATATTTTGAAGTGGAATTAACCCAATGTGAAACTCAATCAGATCAAACAGAGCATAACAATACACCATTTGGTATCTGTAGAGAGAGGGAGAGAGAGAGAGACCAAAATCAAACTTGGGCCTCCTAAATTAAAATTCCAAGAATTAAAAATTTCAGTTTTTTCCCCTGCTTAGTAAGTACTTTGAATCAAAACAAATAAAGACTGTGTGAAAAATATCTTACTGGATAGTGAGTCCCTTTGCATTTGCAGACCTGTAAATTCAAAGCAAAAACAGAAAAATGTGAATGGATTAAGACTCCGTTTGTTTTGACTGTTGTTTGTTTAAACAAAAAGAAATTGCATCATTTTCTCAAAAATACTTACCTCTAAAAATTAAGTCAGCCTATTTTTACAGAATTACCCTTCACTTATTACTTTCTTTAACAGATTTAACATTTTCAAATAAATATTTTTAACTCACTAAAAAATTATAAATCACACCATATTTAAATCAAAGCAATTGCATCATTTTCTCAAAGATATTTACCTCTAAAAATTTCATAAATCTATTTTTACAAAATTACACTTCACTTACTTCCTTTTAACAGGTTTAGTATTTTCAATAAATATTTTTAACTCACTAAAAAATTATAAATTACACTATATTAAATCAAAGTTTTCCTTTCAAATAATAAAATATTTTTATTTCAAGTGTCAAACCAAACACCAAAAATAAAATAAAAATTTATGTAAAATATTTAGGGTTTATAATTTAGGAAAATTGATTAAAGCAAATACACAATAATGTATGTATGAATTAGGAGAGTAAGTGGGGGAAAAGAGGGAGGACTGACCTCTGTAATCGGTGCCTACGTAACCGACACGCATTACGACTTTCTTTTTACGGAGAGGAGTCCATTTGACGGCGGTGATATGGGGAGCAGGGTTTTCCGCCGGCGGAGGTGAGGTTGCAGTGGCGGTGAAGGGAGGAGAAGGTAGTGATGATAACGAAGAGGAGGTGGAGAAGCGAAGTAGTTGTTTCGGAGGTGGTTTGGGTTTTGATAACCAGAGGCGCGAAGCTGGGCTGCTTCGGAACCATTGTGGAAATTGAAATCGAAGAGAAGTAACGGACATGCGTGTGTCTGGTGGAGGCGCAATCGACTGTAGTAGAGTTTGATAAGGATTTGTGGCGCCTAATGTAATTGAGGTTAATCGGAGCCTCTTCCACTCCGGACTAATAAGATTTGGAGCTTTTGTTTAGGGCCAGTCTTTTATCCAATCCGAGTTCGGATTACTGTTAGGTTGGTGGTGCTTATTATTATTATTATTATTATTATTTTTTTTTTTGATAACTTAAGGTGTCCGGGTTAGCTTGCGCGCATCTCAACTAATTCTTGAGCCAGAGCAAAATTTCGTATAGATTGACCCAACACAAGAGTTGATAGTATCTAAGAAGTTTTGAACTTAAGATCTAGAGAGGAGCAAACTCCTAAGTCCTAAGCCTCCACCATTAGGCCAACCCTTAGGGGTTTAGTGGTGCTTATTATGAATGATTTGAATTTAAGTATGTAGAATTTATCGAGTATTTTATATGTGTAAGATATTATGTTAATCAAATATCGATAGTTATTTAATCAAATTATATTTTTGTTAACGGTAATAAAATTTTTAAATTAAATTATTAACAGGAATTGGATCTGATCAAGTAATTATTAATATCTAATTAATGTAATTTTTTTATAAAAATAAAATAATTAACAAACTTTACATATTTAATAATTTCAATTATCGAAACAGCATCTGTAATGGACGTCGTGATTCGAACAGTATGGTCCAATCTACATAGTTGGCTAGCGGGAATCTGTTCCTTTATTTATACTACAGTATTATATCATATAATTTTACACTCTTGGTATAATATTTATTTTTATATTTTAGTTACTATAGTTTTATTTATTTATAGGATAAATTATAAATACATTCATTGAAATTTGTTTAAAATACAGATTGTTCTTTTATAATTTAGAAAGTTACAAATATCTTTTTGTCAGAATTTTTTATTTAATAAAATTAACTAAAAAAATAAAATTTATAATTGTTCTCCTATACAATAATAAAATTACTTAAATTATTAATTAAAATATATTTCTAATATCATTAAAAACTATTAATTGACTTAATAATTTATCAATAAGAGGAGCGATTTATTATGAAACTAGAAACTTTAAGAGGGTGAAATGTAATTTTCAAAAATATAGAGGACAATTTATATTTTAATCAAACTTCAAGAATGTATTTATAATTTATCTTTATATATATTTAAAATTATCATTAAAATCTCAATTTTTAAAATTTCAATTTTCAAGCTACCCACCTATGGGTATTAATTTCCGACCACACAACCAAAGGAGAAACTCATCTGGAGAACACCGGTAGAATAGATTAAGTTCGAATAATCTGTCACAGAAAGGAAAGAATCTGGCGATGGCTCGTCCACCTAGGGGCACTTTGACACTCAAGTCAGTAATCAAATATCCCTTAAAGATAACTAATTATGCTTAACTCATAAGAAAGAACGTATTGCTCACAGCATATCACATATATATATAAAAAAAAAAAACATACCTTAAACCCACGAGGGTGCCCTGCTTTTATAGCCAACAGTGACTTGATCCCTACAGAAGCCTCACCTAAGTGGACTTAGGTTCAATGTTTATCTTGGACTTTCAGCTAGATAGGGATAAACTCCCTAAGAGCTTTATCTTTATCTAAACTGAGATCTTCCCATGTTATAGGACTTTTGTCCCTTATCCGCTTATTTCGGATTCCGATATCTCCGCAGGTAACCTCAGCCTAGCCGAGATCACCTCGGTGCCAGGATTAGGCCACGTGGCATCTCGGAATCACCTTAGCCATGCGCTGTCATTCACAAAATATGTCCCCATAATTGGCCTTTAGGTTCTATTACCTTGGCAACCTAAGGTAATGGAACCTACACCGCTTGCTTATACACCATGTCGGCTAAAATTCATTATTCCCTTCTACCGAAGTCACTACTCGCCGGTTTTGAGTTCCCAAGATTCAACTGCCCATTTTTATCAAGGATCAGGAACCCAGAGTCAAGTTCTTTAAACATCTCCACTGAGATCGTTCCTCTAGCCGAGGTTTTTACTTCATTAATCAAGAACTCCAAGGGTTTTAACTGCGCATGAGTTGTCATGCACAGTTTACTCAACCGTTTCCTCTACGCGTCCCTTTCTCATTGGTTCGTACCTGACACGCACTATCAGGTCGCATCACTTCTGCGTACGCCGCCTGACAAGCACGTTGTCCAAGGCATTTCATTATGGTTCGCCGCCTTTTCGAGTTTTAACAAAACTCTTTCTCTCTCTCTTTGCCTCTTTACTTTCGCAAAATTTGATTTCTTTCTCTCGTGCTCAAATTTTCGCTCTCTAGATTTTGCCATTTTCATACCTTCGAAGCTCTGCACTTGCTCTGATTACCTTCTCCAATGACATTTTCATCATTTGTTTCTGGCCATTCGCGCCGTCTGACTCCGGTGATCCCCATATCGGCGCTCATTTCATTTGGTAAGTTCACAATTTCTTTCCTCTTTAAGTTCAGTCTTTCATTATTCCTTTGATTTGTTTCAAATCTATTACCTGTTTACATGTTGTTCGCTGCCATTGCAAATCAGTTTGTGTTCTTGAATCTTCGTTGTATTTTGAATCTCGTGTTTGTCTATAATTCGTGCTGTTCAATATATCCTTGTATCTATTCACATTGTTCGTGATTTTCGCACACACATACATAGTGCTCATAAATTTGAAGCTTTAACAATTTTGCCACTGTTCTTGGCTTTTGAGCATCCGCACACACCTACTCAATGTTTCTTGAAAAATGTTGCTTTCTTGATTCTGAATCATGTTCTTTTTTGTTTTCTTTGACTTGTTTCCATATTCTTGCCTTTGATTCTTGTTTCCGTATAGGCTTAGGTTTGGGATTTGATAGAAATCACATTCTTTAGGAAAATTGAAACAAATTCCCCTTTGATCTTCAAAAACCCTCGCCCCAGTTCCAGCTTAGGTTTTAGCTGAGGTTCTCAATCCCTACCATTTTCTTCTCTCTAACATTCACCCTAAAACACTCTAAGTCAAGATAATGGGTATGCTTAAGTGGAGGGTAGATACCCCAGAAAAACTCGAGCACTTTAGAAGAGAGTTTTCTATCCCAGCCGACGTCCAAATTAGGTTGGCTGGGGAGGAGGACTCTATTATGTCGGATGGAGACTCCATGTCCTTTCCAATGGTTGCCTTTATCGAATGTGGACTTTGGTTTCCCCTTGATACTCTCTTTGCATGAAATCCTCCACTTTTACAAACTTAACCCCATGCAACTTGCCATAAAACTTATATAGGGTCATCAATGGCATAATTGAACTAGCACACCAAGAAAAAGTTAGGATCACTTTAGCCGACATCAAATTCTGCTATACCATGTGTAACCTTAAGTCTGAAAAAGGCTACATATATTACCTCAAGCCTAGATCCACTGCCTACAAACTAATAGTCGACCTCCCAGACTCTAACAAGGGTGCTGGAGATGATTACTTCATCGTCTCAGGCAACTGGGAATTTACACCTGATGACGACCTTCATCTCTATCCTCTACGCCGATCGGTGTTTAAAGAAGGTGATGGTAAGAGCTGAGTTACCTTTTTAATCATATTTTGGCTAGGATTTGTCACTATATATCTATTTTTTGTAATGTTCTTATTCTCACTTCTTTTTGCAGCTCTTCCCTAGCCAGTAAAGGATTTTCGACAGACCTTCTTTCCTAGCCTCGATCTAAAAAGGATTTTAGGTGTGGATATTAATAAGCGTAAAGCCCTTTTGCTGCTTAATTGACGTCCCACGCCAAAGCAAGACTTTTCCATCAGCAACAACTCCAACAGTTGCTTCATCGCCAAGGCCAGATCTGGCCTCTTCATCAGACCCAGTAGAGCAACCCTCCACTTCTGCTCCAGCTCAACTAATCTCATCATCTCAGCACCGATGCCGACGTCGTGCTTTACAAAATGTACTAGCAGGCCGAACTCGTAGCTGCAAACGACAAGATCTTGATGCGTTGGCCTACGATCTAGCCAATCCTTTCATCGCCCTTCCCACTATTCACTTAGGCACCAAAGTTACACTTGCTGCCACTGCTGACGAAATAGGTCGCAAACCAGCCGTCGTTGAGGACCTTCTAGCCAATGTCCCTTGGGTAGTGACTGTTCAATCATCCTCTTCTCTCTCTCAATCCAAGCCAAAGCCTAAAAGAGTCAAGAAGGCTAAGACCAAGGCTACAGTGACTCAGGTTGATTCTGAGGAAACTGTACCGATCTCAAAACTGGCTGAGTCTGAAAAGAATACTCCTGCTGTCGATAAGAAGCCAGCCGAGGCCCTATCGCCCGACGTCCCTCCGACAAAGAAGCCAAGATCTGACCACCCTGAAGGTAGCAACAACTTTCCCTATAGCATGATTTGGGTGCTCGAGGTCATGGTAGGGAACAGACCTTTGACGACTGGTGACAACGCGCACTACAACAAAAGTAACCTATGGTGATGAAAAGTAGTGAAGAAAATAAATTTCGTTACTAAATAACAATAATTCGTGATGAATTATAAAATTTTGTCACATATAATAAAAAAAAATAGGTGACGAAATTTATTTTCGTCAACAAATACTTCTTTTAGGTGAGGAAAAATTAAGTTTTGTCACCCATGGTTTTTCCGCTAATTCTTGTTTGGTGGTACCAAAATTTTGAGACTTTTGTTGAGAAAAAAAATTGTTACCAATTATAAAATTATTAGTGAGGAATATATTTTCATCACTAATAATTATATATATATATATTTTGAGAAACTTGATTTTAAATATTTGAAGAATATTTGGTGAGAAATATATTATTGTAACTAATAATTTTTAATATTTTGAGACTTTTTAGTGAGGAAATTATTTTGTCACTAATTTTGGAAGGAAAATTTTGACATATTAGGCGGTAATAAAAAAAAGGAAAAATTAGTCTAAGGTCCCTCTCCCATTTTTAATAATGGAAGAGATCCACAATATTATTTTATGATGTCTAAGGTCCCTCAATCCCCAACACCCATATATCACAGAGAAATTTGATTCCCTTAAATCAAACTGCCTCTCACTCTTTTCTTTTCTCTTTGCTCTTCTCTCTCCGACGAACTCTACCTCCATCATCGGAGTTCATCGTCGTCATTTGTACTGGAC